AACCAACACAAAACCATTTAAAGGTAGTATTTTATAAGTCTACAAGGAATAGTGGGGATCCACAGAAGCAATAGCAATCATTTTTCTAGAGAGGACTATTTACATTGATTCTTTGATAAGTAAATAAGAATGTAAAGCTGAGAAGGTATAGTGTGTCAAATCCTAGGCAGAGTTCAGACAGATACACACATTTTAAGATTTAATCCCTGTGCTCAGAGATCTCAATCTTGTCTGAGAGGACAAGGACAAACCCTCAACTGTTTGTTGTTGAATGAACACATGAAAGTAATACTCTCATAGAAGCTTGTGCAGTTTCTCTGGGAACACAGAGCAACTAATCTACTTGGAATGAGAAGCCATGCCATTTGTGTTGGTCTTTGACAGATAAAGAGGAATTTGTCTAGCTAAGAAGGGAGGAGCAGGCATTTCAGGCATAAACTTATGAGGAAAGCCATTGATGTCCACTGAGGGAATAACAAGTGTTCTTAGGTGGCTAGAACTGAGGTTTATGGCTRTGAATGCCTGAAGCTAAATCTAGAGAGAAGTTGGATGGAGGCAGGTTGCCCCACCCTTGTGAGCTATGTTGAGTTCCTAGACCATATTCTGCAAGGAAGTATAGCCATTCCTGGTACAGGCTTCATAGTGGGATGGGGGAAGTCATTTGTGTGGCTATCTGTTACCATGTCCAGCACTGTTCTGATACTCTGTGAATACAAAGAACTAAGTCCTTGCCTTCATTAAGTTTACATTCTAGTTCAGGAAAAAGATTAAATAAATAAATAATAAAACAAGCCAAAAAATAAAACAAACCCAACACTTTATGTCAGATACAAGAAAAATTACAGTAGGGTCACAGGACAGTAATAGGAAATTAGATATAAGGTCAGGAAAGATTCTCTGAAGTGTTATATGAGGAAAGAACTGAATGAAATGTGGAAACATAAATGCACCAAATTGCTTTCACTAATGACTTAGGAAATGAATTCTAATTTCGACTTTAGCCTTTTCTATTTGGATGGCCTGGAAAACTTGTTTTAAGCTCATAGAGCACCAATATAATTATTGAGATGCTCAATAAATGTTAGGTGACTAGAGTAGTTACCAAATTATATTTGAATAAGTGCTCCTTCTTTTTTCAATATTAGAACCTAAGTTCATGTTACAGGCTTTAGAATGCCTTTTGTCATGCTAACCTAGATAAAGAGCTTCTTTTCTCTGAAAACACYTCTCCAACACTTATACTGACCCCTTATAGAGTTATGATGTCTACATTTTTATACCAAGGGGAGTATTTGGCTGTATTCGCTTAAATTCAAATCTGAAAGTTCTTCCAAATGGTAGTAACAGACGTATATATTATTTACTGGGTGCCTATGTCAGTGATGGAAGATTCTTTGTAGATATTCAAGCAGCTTTATAGGATACTACTCACCACTGTACCACCAGGGCCCAGCACAATGCTTGCTACATAATAGATCTTATATAAATATTTGAATAAATGAGTCTCAGAAAAGTTAGGAAATATCTCCAATGTCACAGAAACAACCTGTAGCAGAAAAGAAACTGAGCTATGCATGTCTGACAAAAAGGTTTTAGCCATGTCACCCAAAATACAAACCATTCCCTCAAAGACTAATCTTACAAAGCCTCTAGTAGGTAGACAAGAACAAGCCCCCAAATATCRAGGTAAGAGGGAGAAACCAATTCCAAGATCCAAGAGGCAGACCTTAAGGGCAGAATTTCAGACACATGATAGTCATAAAGCGATAACCAAACACATAAACAGTAARCTGTTGTAAGTCTGTGTATCAACAACACAACTAGATCAGCAAAGAATCAGTGCAACATAGAATGCTTTAAAAATGATTGGCATAACTCAGGTTATGAAATAAGTTCTTGAGGAAGAGAAAGTAAAAACTCACATTAAAGTGCATAAAGTTAGGGCTTGGGGATATAGTTYAGTTGGTAGAGTGCTTGCCTTGCATGCACAAGGCCCTGGGTTCAATCCCCAGCAACACACACACACAAAGGGCATACAGTTATAGCTAAATGAATACAGATAAGTCATTCCTCACATATTATTCATCTCAAAATCTCAAGAACAGCTCTGGAGAGGAACATCATTACCCTAGGTACATATATGATTGCACAAATGGTGTGACTCTACATCAGGTACAACCAGATTGAAATGTTGTGTTCTATTTGTGTACAATGAATTGAAATGCATTCTGTTGTCGTGTATAATTAATTACAACAAAAAGAAAAAAGGCAGATCTAGATATTGTTATAAGTATTTGCCTGGATTAGATGGTCCTACTGATTATCATAGCTCAGAGTAATGCACAAATTAAGATAAGCAGACCATTGGGAGAACATTTAAATGGGATTTATTGGGGGGGKGGGGAGCAATACAGTCTTTATAGAATTACTGATAATAAAAATTTTGTGAAGAACTTAGGTAAGCACTCAGTATATGGTTGATACTTATATAATAAATGTCAGTTTTCCTCCTTCCTCAGCAATTTGTACTTCTAATTTTTATTATAAATAACAATGGACATTTGTATACAAGTTTTTATGTGGACATTTTCTTTTTGCCTTGGGTATATGCCTAGGAGAATTGCATGGTAACTCTACATTTAACTATTTGAGTGAACATCAGACTTTTTCCAAAGTGGCTGTCCCATTGTACACTACTGCTGGATTATGAAGGTACCAATTTCTCCATTGCCTTCATCCTTATTTTTTATATTTTAGCCATTCTATTGGATGTGAGGCAATAACAAGTTATGGTTTTGATTTGCATTTTGGTAGCTAATAATGTCAAGAATTTTTTCATGTGCTTACTGATAATTTGTATATCTTCTTTGGAGAAATGTGTACTCTGCTCATTTTTAAGTTATCTTTTGATTATTGATTTGCAAGAATTCTTTATACAAGTCCCTTAGCACAGGATTTGCAAATATTTTTTTCCCATTTCATGGGTTGTCTCTTCACATTTTTCTTCTTCAGTGATGGGTATTGAATCTAGGGCCTTGTGCGTACTAGACAAACACTCTACCACTGGGCTGCATCTTCAGCTCTTGAGACAAGGTCTCACTAAGTTGCCCAGGCTGGACCCAAATTTGTAATCCTCCTGCCTCACCCTCCTGAGTGGTGGTATGACAGTGGTGTATGACAGTATGCACCACCACGGCAGCTCTCTTCATTCTCTTAATGCTGTCCTTCATAACCCAAGTTTTCATGATGTCTACTTTATCTTTCTTTTGTGATGTCATATCTAAGAAGCCCTTGCCTAAACCAAAGCCCTGAAGATTTAGATCTATTTCCTCCTAAGAGTTTTATAGTTTTACTTCCTATATTCAAGGATTTGATCCACTTTACAGTAATTTTTAAGCAATATATAACATGAAATAAGGATTAAGCTTCATTTTCATATAAATATCCAATATTCTCAACAGCATCTATTGAAAGACTATTGTTTCCCCATTGAACTGTCTTTACTCTGGTTGAAAATCAATTTATCATAAATGTGAGGGCATATTTCTAGATTCTTGATTCTATCCCCTTGATCTATACTGACCCACATATCTATCTTTATATTAGTATAATATTTTTTTCATTAACAAAGTTTTGTAGTGAGTTTTGAAATCAGTGAGTCCTCCAATTTTCTGTTCAAAATTGGCTGTTCGGAGTCTCTAGAATTTCGATGATGCTAAAATCAGTTGCTAGGTTCTGCTACAAAAGCAATTCAGCCAGCCAGCCAGCCAGAAAACAAGCCAGCCAGAATTGATGGGTTGTACTGAATCTGATCAATTTGAATAGCGTTGCCATTTTAAGTCTTCTGATTCATGAACATGAGATGTCTCTCCATTTATTAATTTCTTTTACAATACTTGTTGCTTTTAGAATGTTTTTCCATTTGTTTTGTTAAATTTATTCCAAGGTGTTTTCTTCTTTTTGATGCTACTGTAAATGGAACTATTTTCTTAATTTTCATTTAGAGAAATTTCATTTCTATTTTTATACTCTGTGAGTACACAGAAAAATAATTGATTTTTGCTGATGTGTATACGTCAACCTTGAGCTCATCAGTTTTAACAGATTTTTAATGGATTCCTTAGGAGTTTTCAATATACATTTGAAATATACATTCAATATATATTTTTCAATATTGTCATTTGCAAATAGAAGCAGTTTCACCATTTCTTTTCAAATATGGATGCTCTCTAGAATTTTTCAACACTAGATACATTTATGAAAAATTTAATATGTGGATGTATTCAAATCAATAGTGCATAGATTAATTTTTAAAACAAAAGTAAGGGAAAGATAAGTGCTATAGAAGAGAAAAAGCAGAAAACTCAATGAATTAGCAAGGAAACTGATTCCCACAGCACTACTACATTATTAACTAGCTGTTTTGCATTCTTAATGAGGTAATAATCCTCTTAATGAGTTTATAATCCTCTTTTGGTTACACAAGGGATTTTCAAAATCTTTTTCCATTTGATATACCATGAACTTTGGGGAATAAGGATAAATTTCCTTAGTTTATTCAACCATTACAACCATGATTTTACTACATATTAACCATCCTCTCTCCTTTAYCCCTCACAAAGGAGAAAAAGGTTACCACAAGTAAAAGAAGACACTAAAGTATCTTCACATTGAGAGAAAATGTAACTATCAGGTAAGTATAGTCGATAACATTACAAGATATTTATAGAAAGTTACCCTCTTGGGAACAAGCTGGAATATAAATAAATGCTTCAGTGGCTTGTGGAAGAAAAAGTAAAAATCAACAAATGAACAAAACATTTACTCTGTCAAATAATGCACTATTTAAAACTATAAGAACAATATGAATATTTTTAAAAAACAATAAAAATGTGTTCTAAAAATATATATTATCTGAAATTTTATCACAGAAAGTAATTTTTAAAACCCAAATTTTAGATTCCACTTTTTAATTATAATTTTGATTAAAATGGCAGAAACTTTTCACAATATATAAAAATTAAATTTTTCTACTAAACAATAACTATCTACCCTCCCTCAGCTTTGCTTATATTGATAGTAATATAATAATAAATCATACTGAAGTATTTTATCTTTCATGTATTCTGGAATCTTACTTTTAATCTCTGGGATAAAGGAAGAGGACTATCCAAATAAGTACCAGGCTCCCTGTCTTTCTTATGACTTTGTAGACAACTCTGAGAACTTTTTGCTATATCTAGAAAACATTTTTCTTCATTTCCGGTTGTTTTATAAGACTTGACAAACAGTTCAGTTTCTTTAACATGTATCTTAGGGTTACTCAATTTGCTGTGGTTGTGTCCTTTGAAGTGGGCTGAGCTATGGTTCTGAGAACTGTAACTCATTTTTTGAGTTGTGCACTTAGCTTTCCCAAATGTTGGGGTACTTTCTTCGTCAGAGGAATGTCTGTCAAAGAAAACACTATTCTTCATGACGATTTTTTGAGTGCGTTGCCTATCAATTTTTCTACTACGATCTAAAGCAGGATGTAGTGGTCCAATTCTAATATCAGAGGTCTTTACTACTGGATTATTGACAGGATAAGGTATGGAAGTACTAACTTTATAGTTTTCTTGATGTAGCTGATCTCCTTTTAGGAAATGAGACTTTCTAGATTCATTTTGCAAATGAATTTCTGGAAGATCTTTTGAAAGATGCAACAGACAATCAGAACTACTGTTATCAATACAAGATTCTTTGTCCCTTGTTAGGGACACAGTTTTCAGATGAATATCTGGTTGTATATTATCCTGAGGATATGATGATTTTATTTGTATTCGTTTCTTTAAAGGCAAATCCTGAAGATGTAAATCACTAATGCCAGAAAGTAGATGCTCTTCAGGACTAATCTTTTGAAGATTCCCATGCAACACTTTATTGATGTTTCTGGTACACCATTCTGATTCATATGACAACTGTTCTGGGATATTTCCAAAGTCTTTAGGGATGGCTGATWGGTCTGATTCAAGTTCTGATTGTTGTAAAACATGAGAGAGAGGGTTTATTTGAATAGCTGAAGAATTACTAAAAGAAGTATCTTCCCAGTCAATGGTACTCAAGTGTAGGTCAGTAATTGCAGATATATTATAGGATGACGTATTGGGCTGATTAGATTCTGAAATTAGAGACTTACTGACATCTTTAATATCCTGTATAGTCAAAGGTCTTGAAGAAGACATTTGCTGTTGTGTACTCAAATAAGGAGCATTTTCAGGTAAAAGCAAGCCATTGGATAAGGCAGAAATAGATTTCTGTGGTAATGGAGGATCAGGAGAAATTTCCAAATTTAACTTGGCATTCTGCTTAAGAAAGATTTCACATGTGGGGTTTAAAGTCTTAAATGACTGAAAACTCATTACATCATCTGATTCTGGTGAACTGTTTCCTTTAGGTTTAATTTTCATATCTGAAAAAGAAAAAAATATAATAAACAAGTATTTTCTTTTCTTTAACTTGGATAAAAATACATAGTTCAGATCAGAAATCTTCTATGTGAGCTGTTTTTTTGCATTTTCTCTTTTTCTTTATTCATTCCCAAAAATATTATAAAATATTTTCTTCTGGAAAAAAGTTATAATTGAGTTGTTTTTCTTAATGAGGTTTAAGAAATAGTAAAAAAATATATTAATAACCCCAAATGTTATAGTTAGATGCTCTGAATTCAGTTAGTATAATTATTAATATCTGGTTAAGTTAGTAGACACAGAAGAGAATGGTGTACTTTTGGTTTTTCAACTTTAAAAAAAAGTATATGAAGTTAAAGAGAAAAAGTGTCATTCTTTCTTTTGATTTTACAGAACTTCCAACAAAATTTAGACACGACATATTCAAATAGAATAGGTGGTTCTTATCTAACAGGAGTGTGTGGTATATACAGTTATCCAACACAGTACTTACTTTTTTTCGGTTTCTTCCCTTTAATTTCTAATTTTTGTTTTTGGTAGTCAGCTACAATCTCAGGATAGGCTGCTGTAAACAATGATTCTTCTTCGATTGTAAGTAGAAGCAATTCTCCATGTTGTTGTTCTTCTAAAGCATAATGTTCTAAAAGATTAAAAATGCAGTAAAGCAGCCTTAATTATAGATTTGAAAAATCATTTTTCCCAGGTAACAAAGTATACCCCAGATTGACAATTTATCAGAAATCTTGCTTTATAAGATCTCTATTCTAATAGTATATAATTTATTTATTTATTTTTGGTCTGGAAAAAACTGAAAGGAGATTCCTCTGAAATTAGAACTTGAAAATTTTTTTGCTTCAGAGATGGTAGCAGCAGTTTAAAAAAACTTTTGGGCTGGGATGGAATTCAGTGGTAGAGTGCTTACCTAGCATGTACACAGTCCTGGATTCAATCCCCAGTACCGGGAGGGAAAGAAAAAAAGAAAATAAGAGAACTTCAAGTTGGTTGGCTGGTTGGTTCTAATTTCTCCTAGTAATTGTTAAAATTCTGGATAAGAAATGGAATAGACAGTTTTCTATGACTTTAACATTATTTTTCTTTAAAAGAGATGGCTTCTGAACAGAACAGAATTGAAAAGGTCATCAAAAATATTATTATGTCAGAGGTTATCTCTTCCTCTCTTTTGAAGTGCTAGGCATCGAACCCAGGACCTAAGATTGCTAAACTAGTATTCTACCATTGACCTATACCCCAGGTCCCGTTATAAATCTCTTGAGGATATTCCCAAGCAGTTGGTAATTCCCAAGAAGATGACAAATGAAAATGCATACATGTAAATTTATGATGTGATATAAAAATAGTAGACTAGATTCCCATGTGTATTCTATATGTGGGCAAAACTACATGCAAAGCCAAATTATAATGAAAACATCTATAACTTTATAGCAGAAGCAAAGGAAACAGGTGATCTTAAGGTGTTTCTTGTTTAAAATCAGCTTGTAGTCCACTTCTTCCCTCAGGAATAGCTCCCTCAAGGACAAATAAAAGTTACCTGTTCCTCAGTTMCAGATAGGAGAGATGCACTGCTAAACTCGGCTAATATTTTTTTTTCCTGAAAATACATTAGTTGGTAGAACTGTTCCTATATAATTTCCAAATTCCTTAGCCTTCAATTTTCTTATTATTGCTTAGAATAGTTACCTATTTCTTTTTCTTTTCTTTCGGTACCAGGGATTGAACTCAGGGGCACTCAACCACTGAATCACATCCCCAGCCCTTTTTGTATTTTATTTAGAGACAGGATGTCTCACTGAGTTGCTTAGGTTCACGCTACATTGCAGAGGCTGATTTTGAACTCAAGATCCTCCTGCCTCAACCTCCGGAGCTGAGATTATAGGTATGTGCCACTGTTACCAGCTCTAGTTACCTAGTTCTTTATATAATTTTATTTTTCAAAGTTTCCTACAGCTTAAACTTCTGTTGAACAAATCCACTCTTTAATTCATGCAACTATAATCACACAATCTAATTTCAAGAGCAAATAGATATAAACTTGGGATCATTTTCTATTTTATTTTATTTATTTATTTTTTTTATTGTTGGTTGTTCAAAACCTTACATAGTTCTTGATATATCATATCGGATGGGTATACAGCAGAGTTTTACAAAACCTTTAAAGAGGAACTAATACCAATACTTTTCAAGCTATTTCAGGAAATAGAAAAAGAGGGAGAACTTCCAAATTCATTCTACGAGGCCAACATTTTCTATTTTAAATTATGTGTACTTTACTTGTCTCTGAAGATAATTCAGAACTCACAAAATTTCTGTGTGTGGCAAAAATAAGAGTAATGTGACAATTATAAATTCTCATAAAACTAAACAGAATAAGGAAAGGAGGGTACCCTGTGACTATTCAGCAATTTCAACTGTTTTAGAACTAGTTATATTTGAAATCCAATGATTGGAACTTTTGTAGAAGAATTTTTTAAAKAATACATTGATATTATTTTCTTAAACATTACAAAATAAATACCAACTAAAAATCACTTGAAGTTTATCATATTATTAATCAAAGTCTATTTAAAATAATACAAGTAAATCAGTTTACACAAATAAACTAAAAAATTAATGTATGGTACATGCTTTATATGCATCTTATGTTATATGTAGATACACACACACACTTACTACACATATATGGTCAAATATTTTACGTTAAAACATTTTTCTTATATTGAATACCTACCAGGCTTTTCCCATTCTACTTGAAAACAATGAACTCCATTTCTGATTCGAGGTTTAACAATTCTGAAAAATAARTTCATCTAATGAAGTCTAATTGTATGTGTCATAGAAATTTTCAATTTACAGACAGAATAATTCAATTGCTATTGATTTTTATTCTAAGTAAAAATAATAAATTACTGCCTAGTTATTCCTTTGAGTAGTTAAAAGAATAATTTTATATTTGGTGCTTAAGATTTATAATTGTTATATTTTTCTTAGTAAACTGTTCCTTCTTTATTGGGCAGCGCTCCTTTTTTCCATAATGATTTTCACTTTGAAGTCTACTTTATTACATTATTTGGTAAGTATGTGCCTGATAAATCTTCTTAAATCTCACTTTATTTTATACAAACTTGCTATTATTTTGTATGTTCTTAGTAAACACAGTATCCACTAAACTTGCAACAGATGAGTTTAATCCACTCACATTTGTTGTGATTACTGATTAAACTGGATGCATTCATAAATGTTATTTTGTGTTTTCTGTTACCAGCTTGTTCTTTGCTACTTCCTCCTTCTTATATGATTTTGATTTGATACTTTTATTTTCTTATTTTAATTTTGTTGGTAAGGATGACTGAGATTATACTTCTTGTGGTTACTCTTTATATGTGTGAAAATACCTTTTCTGTGGAAAATGTTTTAATAATTTCTAGGTGACCAATTACTTCACTCAGTAATGAATATAAATATAAATAAAATATTTCACTTTGAAATATTAGTCCATCATTTCCTATCAGCATCTATTACTGTTATGAAAGGTATGTGCTATCAGATTGTCATTCCTTTGCCTTTTGTCATTTTTGATACTTCCCCACAAACTTTTTATTTTGAAAAGTTTCAAAACATTAGAAAAGTTACAATAGTACAATGAATATTAACACGTTTATTGAAACTCGCCAGTCTTAATATTTTGCCAAATTTGTTTTTTCCCATTTGGAAATTAGTTGCATACATGCCTTAGAACATCACCCCTACAAAGCCCATATATGTGAAGATTTCTTCTCCCTAGCCACAAAGCAAGCTTCAGAAAATTAATACTATTATACAGTTCATTTTGATTTTCCCTCTCTGTACTTAAAAATGTACTTTGTAGCTTCAAGAAAACTCAGAATCCAGTCAGGATCACAATATTTTCATATCTCTTTAATCTAGAAAAACTTTATAGCTTTAAAATTTTTATTATATTCATAAAGAAGAGTCCAGAATGGCAGTTCTGTGAAGTGTTCCTCACTTTGGATTCATTAGACTGTATTTTTCCTCATTAGATTGAGATGAAACTTCTTTTGGCTAAAACATTACACAGAACTGGGGCTATAGCTCAGTGGTTAAGCACTTGCCTAGAATGCATGAGGTCCTGCATTCAATTACCAGCACTGCCAAAAAATCAAAAATAAATAAGCACACACACACACACACACACACACTCACATACATGCAGATGATATCTTTATTAGTAGTCATTACTAACTTAATTACGCTGATCTCTACTTCTGAAGGTACCATTTTTCCTTTGTAATTAATCTATGGAATGACAGTTGAAATCATACTTTTTTCCCAGCAATCTTTCAACAGTGTCTTCAATATTTGTTGATGATTCTTTCTTGACTTGTTTATTAGCACTTTTTAAGACATTCCTTTTATGCTCAATATCTAGATATGCTGGGTACAATATGCTGGATTTATTTATTGTACTTGGAATATAAATTTTAGAAAACKTTATCAAATGTTATCTCTTCAAAAACTATTCTTCAGCCCTGGACAGTGGCACATGCCTGTAATCCTAGTGGCTCTGGAGGCTGAGGCAAGATGATTGCAAGTTCAAAGCCAGCCTCAGCAATGGAGAGGTGCTAAGCAACTCAGTGAGACAGTATCTCTAAATAAAATAAAATAGGTCTAGGGATGTGGCTCAGTGATCGAGTATCTGAGTTCAATTCCTAGTACCAAACAAACAAAAACTACTACTACTTTTCCTCCTAGTTGGTTCTAGAAAACAGGTAGAAATTCTCAAAGTATTCTCAAGTTAAACTTAAATATTTTTCATTAGTGTTAAGTTGTCTTCTGTGTGACTTGATTAGTAGTCTTCTAATACTCCAATTCTCTGTGATCAAATTAAGCCTAGAGTCCCATGTTTAAATGACTCTTTCTTTTTCTTAAGACTTTATCTCTAATTTTTAAGACTTCTAGAAGTTCACTTTTTATATCCATTTATTTAAAATCATTTCTATCTACTTCRTTTTGTAATTTCACCTTTTCATCTTCTTATGGAAATATCCTTCATTTCCTTGAGACTTCCTAGTATTCAGAAAGGCCAATAAATTCAAAATTAAAAAAAAATTAAAAACCATCAGTGTTAACTATTTAATAAAACTAACTGACTTGGAGTGAATTCATGATGCAATTGTTTTTAAAAACTATTATATTTCTTTATCTACAATGCATTTTACTTCAATTCTCTCATATTTTATCTCTGTTCTCACTTCTACTTCTCCATTTCTTGCTGAGTATTTTTCAGCAGCAATTCCAGCCTAGTTACTGGGTTTTAAGAAACAAATCTGACCCTATCAGGCCTTGGTTTTAGTCCCTTATTCCCTCTATACTTTTGTTTCTTTCCTAGTCTAYTGAAATTGTTATTTTGTTAAGTCTAGCTCTTTTTATATTTATTTCTTTTGATAACCTATTATTACTGTCTTTGAAGTAGGAGAATATGTCAAAGCATGAACTGACTGTGTTGTCTAAACTAAAAGCCCTGAATATGTTTCTCATGTCCCAGGAGGTTTTTCCTCCACCTTTGCAAAATAAAGAGCTACACATCCCACTTTTAGAGATATTAAGAATAGTTTAGATCAACACATATTCTAATGGAAACAAGGAGTCTTCATCATTTAATTCTTAAGCTACATTACCGTATTGGCTGTAATTGTTTAGAGTTCCTTCTACCAAGTTTTCTTTCTTTCATGTCATAGCGGGTCAAAAGTACCAACAATTTCTCACATGCATAGGGATTGGGCCATTCCATTTTTTCAAGGGTAAATCTCTGTAAATATGATAAAAATAAGACAAGACTTTAAAAATTTCTTGGAAACAAATAATACTCTTAGGTGTTACCATTTTTTCCATTATAATTTAAATTAAAATTAATGAGAGTAACGATGAGCCTTCTAAGGAGGAAGCACTGGACAATGATGAAGTTCTAAGATTCTTGGTCTGAATACCAGCATATTTCCTAGACTTTGGGTTAGGTAACTTAACACGTCTAATGGTTAGTTTACTCTGTGAAATGGAGACAATATAACTTAACTCACAGATTATGAAGATTGAGTATTAAATGCAATGGTAAATTTTAAGTGGTCACTAAATGTTGGCTGCAATTATTAATACGATTATTGAAAGGGGCAAGTAGCAAATAGTTACAATTTATTGAGCCATTTCTGTGCCCAGAGCCACTATACTAAGGGATAATAGACATAATCTCATTTAATACTTGTGGTAACAAGTAATGTTATTTTTGTTTTGAGGATAATGCATATTCCAGGTCACATAGTGATAACAGACTGTTCAAATTTATATCTAGATCACAGATTTCAAATCTCAATCCTTTTGTAACTTATATTGCCTTCCACAATCATGCATATGATCCTGACATTCTTTGGTGGAGGCCCCCTCCCCACAAACATAGTCCCGGATACATGGTAACTGGATATATGGTAATTAAGACATTTTCAAAAAAATAGCATTATTGTGATTTCCCTTATGGTATAGAAAGTATGTCCCCTGTGTGGCAAAGGAATAAAGGATAAAAGTAAATACTAAAAAATATATGAATAGTCAATAGCTATCTGTTTTCATTTTTAAACCTCTTGAATAAATTCATTACTAACTTTGTACTATAAAGTAATAATTCATTTTAGGGTACCTGGAACAATAATAAATCAGGTCTTTGGTACCTGATTACCTCCATCAATTTATCTTTATTCACAAGGAATTCTTGAATAACCTACCAGGGGGGAAAAAAAAAGGAATTGGGACCATGAAACTTAAAAAGTTCATGAAATGAATATACAATTGAATTATTGGTTACCTCATGAAATGGGAATCCCTCACAACTGCAAGCTTTCCTGAAAATAAATTATATACATTATTATTATAATCAGACAATTATTGACAGAATCTGAAATGATCTTGTCCAATCTTATGTCTTTTAAAGAAAAATATTACATGTAGTTCTTAAACATTCATCAAGTTTATAGTTGAATAACAACTATCTCCTAAGATGGCTGAATTTTGGAGTGGAATCAAGAAAAGTATATGTATGACTAATCTAGATGTGGGAGGTTATGTGAAAAGAGTTCAATCACAAGTCTATATACAGCTCATGATAGGAAAAAAAAAAGTCTTAAAAAAATACCTCTTAATATTGTTCTCTACTCCATTTAGTTGTCTATCATGTTCTGTCTGGTGCCATTCACAAGGACAGGAGTATTCATAGTCATGCGGTTCACAGTATCTATCACTTTTACATAATTTGCATCCATTACGTTCATGATCCTTAGGTGAGCCTTTATGGAGAAAATATATATATATATATATATATATATATATATACACATACATACACACACACACACACACACATATACAAGAAAGTATAATTTTCAGTGCTTATGAATTACTTTCTATTACTTTTTTTCATTATCTAAACTTTCAAAAATTGGTGCTGCCTAGCATAGGTTTTAGTAAATTTGAGTTGAATAGAGTAAAATTTGAGTTGAACAGAGTAAAAACTTTCTGGTTTATGTAGTAGCTATAGAAAAGCATAATGCAATTATTACCAAAATGATGATTTATTTAATAGAATAATTAATGGGTTAATAATTAATAATAGGGTTTCTTTGATTAGCATATTAAAAGCATATGCCAGTTAATTACCTCTGTCAGTGTGTAGCTCTCAGTTACACAGTTATTTTTAAACTAGGCTTGAAACATAAATAGATTATGAATACAACATAGGCGTGGGGCCCAAGTTTCCTTAAACAGGAAAAGTGTGGTTACCTTCAACATTGTTTTGAGAGTATAGAAGAGCATGTATATATACTTGATATGAGCTAAAGTTGTCATTTATAAAATATCAAGAAATTATAGAATATCATATTATTTGTAAAAACATTTATATTCTTCTATGATTTAATTTATAAATTAACAAAGTCAGTGAAAACTTACACTGAGATGAGCTAATAGGATCTCCTAATCTCGTTTTGGAGTGAAAGGCCTTTCTGACACAGACTGTGCTCAGTGATATATACATATTTTTTTTCTTTCCCTCCTCCTCCTTTTTAAAAAAAAAAAAAAAAAAAAACTAAGACTAATGGAGATCCAAGTTATTTTCAATAACAGTGAATATATATAGAAATTAGTTTGAAGTCATTATCTTTACACATAGTAAAAGTGCATTATGGGACAATAAATAATCATCTAAGTAAATAAATATAAATAATTACCACAGGGGGCTGGGGTAGTGGCTCAGTGGTAAAGCATTTGCCTAGCATGTGTGAGGCACTGGGTTCGATTCTCAGCACCAAATATAAATAAATAAAATAAAGATCCATTGACAACCAAAAAATATTAAAAAAAAAACACCAAAAAGTAAAATGGTTTCAATTCCATTTTTCCCATTTTTTAAAAAAAGGATTTATATATTGAAAACATGATAATTTTAAGATCTAAGTAATTAGGTATCAGTTTGAAATTATACTTATTGTATATTTATCATCTGTTCACATCATTTCATTCAACAAATATTTACTGAGAGTCTATTATCTGTGTATAACAATTTGAATCTAAGGCATTCCCAACCTAGTGGGAAAAAGCCTTCAAAGTGTTATTAATAAAAGTATGAAAAAGTACAATGAGAACAGTAATGAAAGTGTGGATATCAGACTTTCATATCATGAAGATATTCCCTCTTGTCTGCTTACCTGGATGGCAGCACACAGAGCAGTGAGCCAGTTTTTTAGCTACTAGTGGTTGCACAGCAGAATAACATGATTTTTCATTCCACTGATTAAATCTGCAATAGAAATTGTTTTTTTTTGAGGGGGCAGGGGTCACAAAAATGCTGTTATCAAATGTCAATTTACTCTATTTCCTTTCACCTGACAAATTATCTTGCCTTTGGTGGGAGATAAATTTGATGACCTTGCCTGGAAAAACCCTTAGTCACAAGTTTTAAATGTGGCCTTAAGAAGAGCAGAATTGCCCTCTGGATGCTGTGGTACATGCCTGTAATCCCAGTGGCATGGGGGGCTGAGGCAAGAGTATGGCGAGCTCAAAGCCAGCTGCAGGAACTTAGCAAAGCCTTAAGCAACTTAGTGAGACCCTGGCTCTAAATAATGTGTAAAAAAGGACTGGGGATGTGGCTTATTTGTTAAGTGTCACTGAATTCAATTCCCAGTTAAAAAAAAACAAAACAAAACAAAACACAATTACCAAAAAGGAGAGAGAGGAGAGAGTATATACCTAAATGTGGGTATTGTAATCATATATTATATATTCACTCAGCATCTCTTTAGAAGGAGCTTGTTAGATAGCAATATATGGAGAGAATGATTTATATATCTTTGCTCTCTTCTCTATATGCCAGAGTTTAAAACAAACAGAATGTGTACATGAACATTTTTCTACATCAGAAATCAGAGCAAAGTGTAATATATAAACCAAATAAGAAATTTGCATTAGTTGAAATGAGCATTTCTTAATCTGTTATGCAAACAGAAAAACATTACTCATTTAATGAAAAAATTTAAATATATGTTAGAGTGGAAATTTCTAATAACTAAAAGTTAATTTTGCTTTTGTCTAACATTCCGTGTTAACATAAAACCACCAAAAAGCTAGGTAGTAAGCATAAAGCATTAAGTACCCTGAAATGTGTCCCTCTATTTACAGAAGTTAAGATTTCAATAAAAAGCTAAATTACCTCTTAAGTTCTTTAGATAATATCTGGTACTTAGAATTATTTTTTAGCTGTTAGAATTTTACTCATTTACCACAAAGACAAAGTATAAGTTTGTTAAAAATTAGCATTAATCACTTCTGGAGAAGTGATAAAGAACTAAAAATGATAGTGATAAAGTGATAAAGATATAAAAATCAAAAGTATTCAGGGAAAGCCAACATAAATTTATGAAAATTAGAATAATAGATAATTATAAAAAGCAATATAACTTAAGTACTTTTAAGTGTTAAGAGAAACACTTATGAAACTTCCCAAAGTACAAATTTGCTRAAATTGTTTCAAGAATGCCCTGGAATTAGTCAACTAACATATTTGCTTGCTTTTCTTTTTACTATTCTTCAAAATTCCCAAATGATTCCTTCACACACCCCAATGCCAAAGTACACCTGTTCTTTCCTGCTTTGGCACAGTAATCACTGGTGTCAATAATGGGTTTTCTGAAGTTCTAGATGTATCAATAGTTTTTATGGCTAAAAAAGAAGTTTTACAGGAAAGAATACAGGAATGTGAATTATCTTTCATGGACATTCCTTCTTTATTTCTATCACTTCGTATTTCTTTCAGGCATTCACCACCTATCTCAACCTATTGGGGCCAAGACTCTTGAATTCTCCCTGTGTCCCAGTTCTTTTCCTCCTCATTTATTCTATAACTTAGTAGTAAACAGCCTGTAGCAAAATGTCCATGGTTATAAATAAAAGCATTTCAAATGGTACTAATAGTGTTTAGTGAGCTAATAATATATCTTTTAAAATAATTATATACTTAGGACATATATTCTCATTTTCCCTTTGGAAAGTTTTAGAATAAATAAAAATAAATTATTTTAAATGAAAACAGCAATTTAAAAATACAAAGACCCCTTTTTTGGAAGGCATAGTCCTGTTTGTGATACTATTAAATTTGACAAGMATCGAAGTCCAATGTTGCAAGAAAAAGTTATTTTTAGTTACCTCTCAAGCAAACTTTGACCTTTCAAAATCTGTATGAGTTTCAACGCTTGCTCTTTTCCAACTCCAGGGACTCCCTTTCAGAAAGGGGAACAAAAAATTCAAATGTTAATAACCAGCTAAACAAAGTGTAGTGAGTTCTTCAATGGAAGACTGTGCAGCTGAAAGAAATAAAAAGAGAAYTCTGTGTAATGATAGAAAAATATGTAAGATACATTGTTACATGTGAAACCTAACTGCAAAATAATGTATGATGTAGATTTGTTAGCAATTATATTATTAGACTATTAAACAAAAACATTGAGATGATATGCCAAACCACTAATAGTATTGTTTTAAAGTTGTAGTTGGACACAATATCTTTATTTTATTTTTATGTGGTGCTGAGGATCAAACCCAGGGCCTCACATGTGCTAGGCGAGTGCTCTACTGCTAAGCAACAATCCCAGCCCTACTATTTCTTTTTTTTTTTTTAAAGGGGAGGAAAAGAACATTATTTTAGAGGGCTTTCACTTTCTAATTATTTCAGTAATTTTATTTTTTTCTAACTTAACATTCTATTTGTAATCAGGAAAATTAGTTTATTTAATTATATGAACATTTAATATTTAAAGACCCAGAAACATAAAAAGGAAGAAAAGTTTGAAGTTTATTAAAAACCTCATAAAATTAAAATGTGAATTTCAAATGCACAATAAAATTATACACACAAACATATTCACATCACAAGTTCTGGTTTGAATCTATTGGTTCTTGGTTCCTATCAAAGTTTATGAATATATTCCTATTAGTAAGGCTGCTATTTGTCCATTATGCACTAAGATAGAACACCAGTTTCAAAATACTTACAAACTGGTTGGTAATGACCAATACCCGAACACCCTGAATATCTGTCTGACTGCCAACCCACCTATACCCAAGATCCAGCTACTAAAAAGCTAGTCCATGCTATAGCAGAGGCTACCTCRAAGTCAGTTCCATCTCTATAGTCTATGACTTTGGCATGCTAGTTGTTAGATATTTTGAACTTCCTATATTAAATTATGGTAGTACATTGTCTTAAAAATCTTTAAGACACCATAAAGAGATAGCATCTTTGTTTACAAAGGATACAGAAAGTCAAACTAGCTAAGGCTTGCTGCATATTGTAAATACCATTGTAGCTAAAGCTGGTTTCTGGGAGTTTAAGTTTTAAGTTCAAACTTGTTGAATTTAACACTGAGCCATTTTTAGATTTTAATTATTACATATAAGAAAATAGGATCTTTTATTTAAGAAGAATTACAATAAAATAATGGTTTGTTGTATTTAAAGGTCTTTCCTTCTGCTTTCTTTTACCAGTTTAAAAAAAGTCATAGTGGCTAGGTGTGGTGGTGCATGCCTGTAATTCCAGTGGCTCAGGAGGGGGARGCAGGAGGATTGGGAGTTCAAAACCAGCCTCAGAAATTTAGTGAAGTGCTAAGCAACTCTGTGAGAACTTGTCTCTAATAAGACACATAATAGGACTAGGGATGTGGCTCAGTGGTCAAGTGCCCAAGTTCAATCCTTGGTCCCCCCACCCTAAAAAGGCATTGATTCCTATAGATAGCCACTGAAGACATGTTAGAAATCAAAGTTAATTATTTTATTCTCCTGTTTTTTCATTTCTCTTTGGTGCAAAAAAAAAAAAAAAAAGGTCATTCTTCTTCGTACTTCTTTTAGGAATAGAGGTAATATGAGGGATTTGTCAGGATAGAGATGATTTGTAGGGATACAATGATGTGAATATATAGTACCTACAGCGCCTGTCATTTTGATTTTTATGCACAGTATTTAAGAAAACGGGTTATTCTTATAATTCTTAATTTATCACTTACCTATCTATTATATTTATTTGTTACAGAGTACCATATTATACATCCTAAGATATAAATTAAATGTTTCAGTGAACAAAACCTAGTGCAATGCTGAGTGGCATGGAAATATGAATGGCTTACCTCAATAATCATGTTGCTTAGCAACATTAATAACAATGAGCATGTGTACAACTGGAAATCTATAATGGATATTTAAAACTAAAAAAACTGACAAAAACAATGACAGAAAGTAGCATTGGCATGATATAAGAAAAGAGCAATTACTGTTTTTTTATAAGGGTAGTCAAACTTGAATGTGAATCTCTCCATCTAGAGTAATGGTTTAACTGAGATTCAAACTGTGATACCATTTATCATGCTATTATATTCTGGTTTCTAACAGTCAGTGTCATATGTCGGCTCTTTAACACTATCTGAAACCAAAGATGCTATCTCTTTATGGTGTTTTAAAGATTTTTAAGACAATGTACTACCATGGTTTAATATAGGAATGATGATGTTCAAAATATTTAACAACGATTTTAGTTACTGAATGGCTTGTTATGCCTAAATACTTCGAGTTAGATTCTTAATTATATAATTACATTGATATTAATATAGCACATAAGGTACCAAAAAGATACACATAAAAGTRAGTAAACACAATTTCAGCTTGCCTTTGGAAGATAGTCACAACCAAGAAGTATTGCTAGTCCAACCAGAGCATCTCTGTCCAAACCTAGTTTACTCTTGATAGATGACATTGTRTAACAGTCAATGTGAGGATCCTAAAGAAAATAGATTTAGTTCAATCTTCAAAAGGTAAATGTTTACACACTAAACAACATTACAAAAACCAATTTGTCAGTTACCTTTCTTTCTTTTTTGGGGGGTTCCAATCCTTTTTATTTTGAGACAGGGTCTCACTAAGTTGCTTAAATCCTTGCTAAGTTGCAGAGGCTGGTTTTTGAACTGGTAATCCTCCTGCCTTAGCCTCCCAAGCTGCTGGGATTATAGCATGTGCCACCACACCCAGTAGTTTACCTTTAAAAGTTTAACTATTCCTAAAATTTAAGTAGAAAAATTATTTGGATGACTAGAATCTTCATAAACTCTGACACTTCAATAGACAGAAATAAAGTCACAGCTGTTTCAAAAACAGTTTAAAAAATAAACCATAGTGGATTATGTTTTCCTCTTTATTGCTTTTGGTTTATAAAAATAGTGTATAATATATATTGTAGAAAATAAGCATTCCCTATAATTATATTGCCTTAATTATTATTAGTACCTTGGTGCATATTCTTCCAAAAAACCATTTTGACAYGTATATGCTAACGTTTATTATTAACTACATTTTTATGCAAAAGTAGAATTCCATGAAATACTATTTTGTAACATTTCATCTCAACAATCTTCCTGGGTATCTTTTATGTCAATAATATATATCTTTTAAATGACTGCATGACATTTGATATGGATTCTGAGGCAGTGTTTCTCAGTGGCAATACTATTAGCACTTTGGGAGGGATAACAGGATTGTTTGGCAGGAGGTTTAGCTTGCATGGCCTTTTTTGAGGATGAAATAATAAAATGGAAATRTGGGTCAAAGTGATGTATTTCGCATCTAATTCTGTGGTATTTTCTTGAAAGTGATTAAGAATTAAATCATGTGAAACAAAGTCTAGCCTTTAGTAGAAAAATCTACATTTTAAAGAAAAAGAATTATGTGGCCATAATTTTTAAAATTTTTTGAAAATTTATTTTTAAGTTGATAAAAAGCAAAAATTGTACATAAGTATGAGGTACTAAGAATCATTTCAATACATGTATATAATCTGTAATGTTTAAATTGAATTAATCACATCTACTTCCTCAAATTTTATCATCATTTATTTATGCCAAAAATTTTAAAACCTCTAACTCTTTGAAATGTATAGCAAAGATATTTTTAACAACAGTAAACATTTTATTTAGCAAATGCTATATGCTAGGCATTACATTAAGCATTTTACATATATTATTTCATTTAATCAGCCCTTTTAAAAAGGTAACTAACTTATAAAACAAACACTAAAGAAAGAAAACAAATACCTTTGTACTTATAGTGAAATTCCTGTAGACAGTCTGGGCTCCATAGAGGAAAGCATCACCATCGTTGGTAAGGCAGCCATCTACCTGGCCACTGGCATTGAGGTGAGCACACATGGCTTCTGCTTCTCCAGCAGCCTGAACCCAGGGGACTCCTAGACATTCTAGCATATCTAGGCACTGAAGCAAAAAGCAGGTGCGAGAAATAAAAATATATTTTTACTGCTAGTTTCTTCAGCGTTTAATTTACTACATTACAAATACTAATAGTAGCAATTTAGGTATTTTAAAAATTAAATTGAAAAAAATGCTTGGGAATTTGAACATTGATACTTCCTCTTAAGGAACACTATAACTTTTCTAGGTGTGATAATAAAAAAATCATATTGTGTTACTGTTTTTTCATGTTTTAGAAGCTATCTTTTAGAAAATGGCACTGAAATACTGAGAATTACACAATATTATGGGTGGYATTTGCTTCAAAATAATGTGGGAATAAGACAGTGGGTAGAGACATAGATGACATAGACCAATTGTTTAAGATTGGTGATAAGTTACTTTTGTCTTAATTTAAGATATTTTTGTCATAAAAATTAAGATTTTTTAATGTCAATTACAAAGTAATATGTATTTGACTTTTGTTCAATGCTATATTCAAATTCTGAAAATATTTCTGAATAAAAACGGATCACATGAAGATTCACACACGTAAAACTATAGAACTATAATAACTTTTCTCACATGATAGTCAARCCAATATGAGCTTTAGTTTTTTTGGTGGTGTTGGGGATTGAACCCAGGACCTTGTGCATGTGAGGCAAGCACTCTACCAACTGAGCTATATCCCCAGCTCCCAGTATKAGCTTTTGGGAAGAAGATCCTAGTGCACAACTTTAGCTTGAAGACTTAATAACTTTTTCATTTATGAAACTCTCATATTGTGGGGAAACCATAGAATCATTTGTTGGTGTCCTTCTAGAAAATCAAATGTCTGGGCAGCATGATTACATCATTTTTGTGATACATAAATAACCCATTGTGAGTTTTCTTTGGATTATGGTTAAGCTACCCAACTGAGTAGCTTACAGTTAGCCATATGAACTAGGTCATCTTTTTTGTCCTATATTATTCTCTCTGTATTGGGGAATACTTAGAATGCTGGAAAAAAGAAGATTTTGACTTGTATTTTCCATGACTGACAGAATAAACACCTTTGGTTTAGACTTGTTGATCACTTTCATGTTATCATACATACCAAAAACTTCTGCCAGGTGTTACCCAAGGTAGATAAGATTCAAAAAGACAAAATGTTATGTTGAAAAAAAAATTACTTCTCAGGAATCTGGACAGGTAATTTTAGGGAGAAAATTTTATTACAGGTGTTATTTCTACCTTAAACACTGATAAGAAGCCTCCTTTCCTAATAAGCAGAGTCACTGCAGCTTCTTATACCATTTGTTATTACAACTTTTTTTCAAAGAACCAGCACAGAGGAAGTAATGAGGCTGCCTGCAATTGTTTCCTACCCTGTTCTTCTATCATGTAGGGGAGTTGGTATAGGAGGATGAATTATTTGAGCTTTTCATGCTCATACCTAAATGTCGGCAGTGGATTAGAAAGATGTAGGGCCTGTCTACTAACTAGGAGTACAAAAATATAAAAATGATAATAGAAAATAATGAAAATAGACAAGCAATACTGAACTGACACAAAATGCCTTACAGCACCATGATATTTAAAATGCAGTACAAAACCTTTCTTCAATTACTGACAGTTGTTAAGATGGAATACTCACTAATTAAAAACTATTTTTTAAAAATCACATAATAGATAATAGACAAAATTTTAGAAGAGGAGAAAAATGACTTAGTTTATGCAATGTCTTTTAAAATAAATGAAATTTTTAACCAAAACTGAAAAGAAAAACAGGGAAATTAATCCAAAGCAAATATATAGTTTATATGCTTAATATATAAAGGACTTATACAAAAGTAAAATTAAAACCTCAAGAGGTAAGTAAGTAAAGGACATGATGACCTCACTTAAAGACAAACTCAAAATAGGTGGCCAGCTTAAGTTAACCATGAAAAGTCCAATACATAATAAATGTAACCTTTGCTTCTGCAGAGTACAAAGAAAAATCTGCCAACATCCATTGTTTTTGTTAGTGCACCAAAATGGTTTATCTTACATTTGTTCAGGTAGAAAATATGTGACAAGAGCTACAAAATTATTCTAAAACTTTGGTTTATCAAATCATTTTGGGTAATTTTTATCTAARATTCTAAATCACAAGAGAAAGCTACATACACAAAAAAATGCTCATCATAATTTTATGTATAATGGAGAACAACTAAAAAGCAACAATGGATACATCATGTAAACAATTCACAGGTTCACGTATGTTGTACAACCACTACAAATTATGATTTTTTAATAGAATATGGCAACAGGAAACTACGTGAATGATAAATGAAAAGCCCATGATAAAAATTATTTAATCTACTACTATGAATTTTTAAATTACACATTCAAAAAGAGACAAAGAAGGAGGCTAGAGTTGTGGCTCTGCGGTAGAGCACTTGCCTAAAATGTGTGAGGCATTGGGTTTTATTCTCAACACAGCATATAAATAATCAATAAAATAAAGGTCCATCAACATCTAAAAAAAATTTTTAAAAAGAGACAAAGAAAATATTTTCCTTTTATTATATTTTAGAATATAACATAATATATTTTAGGCACATTCTTTATTTCTGTTTTTTGGGTACTAGGGTTTGAACCCAGGGATGCTTCATAAATGAGTTGCATTCCCAACTTTTTTRTTTTTTTCTTTGAGACAGGGTCTCACTAAATTTCTGAAGCTGGCTTAGAATGTGTGATATTCCACCTCAGCCCCCTGAGTTTCTGGGATTAGAGTCATGCATCACCACACCAAACCCTTCTTAACTTTTATAAAAATATAATTATAACAATGTTATGAGTAATGTATAAATAATACATTATAATAACAATAATTACTTTATAAAATTACCAGCCCTAAGGGAAGCCAAATATATGAACTATCTATATATGAACTATGATGAATTTTGAATGAAAGAAGTATGAATTAACAAGACCTCATGTATTTGGGAATTCTTTAAGTGCTGAAGATGTTATAAAAGATACTCAAGATCCTACCTACCATGTATTTGTTACTTTAGACATATTTTTCTCTAATTTCTCAGAATTTCTAAATGCCAATGTCAGGACTTGGGTTCAGATCAGTTTTACTCTAAAATATACACTYTTTTTTTTGTATATAAAGGTCTTCTCTTCACAGTATAGCTAATGATTACTCAAGTTTACAAAGCTTATTAGAGTAAAATGTACTCTTTAATTAAAATCAGATTATTTAATGGAATCTGAATGCCTACCTCTCTTAAGACTGACTTAAAATGTGATCTCCCTGTTTTCTGAGACCACGCTTTTCCAGAAGGTCCATACCGAATCTGATTCCTCTTATTCATGACGTCAGCTTTCAGCTTTGGTGGTTCCCCTTCCATAACAAACACCAGTTTTACATCCATTTGTGTTAAATATGAGATACGAAAAAATAAGTTCCTGAGATACATAAATTAGTAATATATTAACCATAATATAATGACAGTGTAAGTCAAAACTCTATGAACACAAAAACAAAACCACTAAGACTAGTACCAAAAATATTAAGTGCAATAACATTTTCATTACTAAGAGTTAGTTTACATGTAGTGGAGAAAATTGAATGTTTTTATGTGAGGGAAATTAATTACTATTCTCCTTGCTATGTGAAAAATGATTAGGAGGAGGAGACCAAGAGCAGAGGAAGGGAAACGAGTGAAGGTGTTATTTCAGCTGTACAGATGAGAGAATTTGGCATGAACTGAAGTGGTGTATAAGGACACTGAGCGAAGTTTGTGAAAACAAAACATTTTAAAATAGAACTGTTAAGACTTATTCAAGCACTGATGTGAGAGGTAAGACGGGGAGATAATGGCTCCCCAAATTCTGGCTTTTAGCAATTGATACATCCTACAGTATAGATTACGTGGGAGATAGATGTGAGTCTGAAGCTCAAAGAATAAGAGGTACAAATCTGTGAGTCGTTAGTATAAAAATGGCATATTTAGAACTACTATATTTTAAAATCTCAAAAATCATCAGTATAAAAATGGCAGATTTAGATATGCTAAATATATTTTTAAATTCTTAGAATATAAAAGAACAAAAAATTAAGTTTAAATAAAGCCAAGATACCAAGAAGACACTTTATACAAATATACATTCACACTTAAGAACTCTGATTTTTACCTGAGGTGTGGCTTCATGACGGTTCCAATCATTTTTTTGACYGACTGGGCCTCACACACCCAGAGACTCAAATCAACTGCAATGGTTTTCCCACTAAGACTCTGCAAGTTGATGTGTTGCTTAACAGGCTCCAAAATTTGCCACAAGTCATTCACTCCCATTCTGTTGATTATCTACTGTTATTTGAAATATATTTTACAAAAAAATTTGTTAAAGAAAACAGAAGTTCAGAACATAAATTCAAACAGTATATTTTGAGCGAGTTCTGGAAAATGTGTAGAAGATTATTTTCAATTCTTTCACTTGTCAGCCTCAGTCTTTTATGAATTAAGAACACCTCAAACATTAAAAATATTTAAAAGTTGTTTTAMCTATCTTTGTTCTAGCTAATAACAGAAGCTTACAAATGAAGAGATGGGAATAAAATGCAGAGATCCTGTAAAAAGAGGATGGGACCAGTCCTCTATCAAAATGAGGAAAAACAAACAAAAAGAAAAAAGGAAGCAAGTGTGGAAAAAGATAACAAAAGAAGGACAGAAAAACCAAAGGGGGTTAATGAAAGAAAATTTTGGTGGAAAATGGGGGGAGAACAAACAAGATGGAGAGTTGGAGAAATATGGAGTTATCTTTTAAAAAACTGCACTCCCCAGCCCCCCTCCCCCAGTACTGGGGACTAAATTCAGCTGTGTTCTACCACTGAACTACCCGTCCAGTCCTTTTTATTTTGGACAGGTTCTCACTAAGTTGAAGGTTGGCCTCAAACTTGCAATCCTGCCTCAGCCTCCCAAATTGCTGGGATAACAGGCATGTGACACATGCCCAGCTAAAGGATAATATCTTTTAAATTGCATGGTGAYACATGTTTATTGAGGAGAATTGAAAACTTAAAAGTTTAAATCACCTATAGTTCTACTATTCAAAGTAAATAATGCTGAACAAYTTTCCACGTATAGTATAGGACATTTTAAAAACAAAATTGTTTTAACCTCYAATGTTCTTCTGTGCTTTATTGTTTTTTATAGGCCAATCTTTCCTTTTTAAACACATTTTTCTTTTCCTTTGTTATTATCTGATGAAGATATTATATAGCACTCACAATGAGGATTAAGTCTGACTCTGCAAATTCAATCCAGATTATTATCTTCCCTCCAGAAAAAAAAAAAAAAGGGGAGAAGGCAAAAAAACATAAGTCTATAGGTCAGACTTCACCTGTATGTGGAAACTTTGTGAATAAAGATCACTGTATTATCTTTAACAGAGTCCATCTTAAAAGTAGATTTTCTCAAATTGCTCATGGGTGCAAAGAAAATAAATATTGTTAAGTGTTGCTATCAGTAACTTAGCCTGTTTTTCCGCATCTTTATTTTATGATGTGGCCATATTACCACTGAGTATTAGCCTGTGCACTCATATTCATGAAAAGTGCACAAATATATGCAGATTTGTCAGTTTACAAAGAAAAATTTACAGAAACACAAAAAAGCATTTAGTAGTTAATGATGATCTAATGCTAATATTCTCTACATCAAAAAACTCCACTGGTCATAGACATTCTACTGTGACATAGATTCAGAGTTAATTGTGAAAATTTCTGGAAAGAGTGGGGACTAATATATTTTTTAAAGTATTAAGATGAAGTGAAATAATACTTTCAAAGTATTAACCATCAGAACACATAAAACTAAAAAAGTCTGAGGGGGAAATTCTTGCTGATAATTTTGTTATCATTTTTGATTCACATTGGATACTGGAATATACTGGTTCTGAAGGAAATGGTAATTCCTTCATAAAGCAATGTTATCATGACTGATCCTATTTCTTTTAMATGTGACCTTGATTCTAGTAGTCAAAATTTCAATGCAAGTTATCTTCTGATTTAGCCATACCTCTCTACATATCTACTTTAAGATATGCTTAGATGTATACAGAATTATATACAGCAATATTCACTGTAGTACTGCTCAAAAAAAATGACAGAATTACATTGGTTTCCAGAAAGTAAAATTTGAGCTACTATCTGTGCTAAAAAGTGTTCTCTTCTCCATTTTCCCTTAGTTATTTGACATTTTCTAGAAAAATGTCTTTCATTGTCACTCTTCCTGATTACTATGTTCTTTAATCCATCTCAAAGCCTTTAAACCAATTTGGTTCCTTATCCCACAGTTTCCATGTATCTACAGAAATGGATTTGARAATTTCTAAAGCCCATTTCTTTCATAAGCAAAGAATTCCTATGGAATATGCCAGTTTTTCACTTTTTTCTCTAAATGATAGGAATCAAGGAGACATTTTTACAGAAGCTATCTTCTTTATATGACCCATTCCAATAAATCCTTTTTTTCCCTTAGAAGTTTATCACTAGTGAATTTCTATTGGATCTTCTTGATTTATTGTAAGATTTAATAGCATTCACTACTTTCAACTAAAAACTATAGATTAGGACCATGCCAAGGAACAATATCTAAAGGATTGGGGGTTGGACAAAAATTAGAACTTTTCTTTACGTCTTCATCTTCTCTAATATAATCCCACATCCTCTGACATGTCCCCTGAGCTCCTGACTAGCCTCTAATTGCCTACTTGTTCACATGGATGCATASATCTAGATTCCACCATAAGTTTGTCTCCATACAACTGTATGCCTTCTGACTAGTCTCTCTGCTTCCATTTTTCACTATCCTCTATGCCCACACAATCCTTCTTCTCACATTAGCTAGACTGATCCTGATTAAAAACCTAAATCATCATCTTTCTGGCAACGAACAGTGAATTTCCTCATGAGTAAGACTTTGCGTCACAAGTTAATTTTCTTCATTTAATGGTGGCTATCTTTAGACAGTTATAAAATGCAAAAGGGATTAATGTAAAACTACATGAGTACTAACAATACATTTCTAAAAAACACTATTTTAGAATTAGCTTCAAAATATCTACAACTGAAGTTTAAAAATACATGATCTTTTTAAAGACCATTCATAAAAGTAGGATATTAAAAGAACATTTCAATTTTGAAAGGGAAAAATGGCATGAAATTTATTTAAAAGTACACCTTGTTTTAAGAATGCAGTTAATCCAAAATTTCTATCATCTATTGTTTCTACTCATCACATGTTCTCTTTATCAGTCATTTCTCCCAAGTGACATTAAATAGCAATGATCAAGACACTAAAAAAGCATATAAAATTCCAAAAAGGGACAGGAAGCAACAGCTTTTAAGATACTGAACTACACTAAAGAAACAGATGGTTCTTGTAGGAGGTAATAATCAACACAAGGTTACTTAAAAATAGATCAGTATCAAGTAAAATTTAAAATTACTACATCTTGATCCATTAAAGACTGTGTAATTTTGCCATGCTTTTTATTTTTTAATTGGGTAAAATTTGAAATTTTTGTGGTGTGGGATTTGGTGAGTGTCTACTTAAAACTTTCACTTTGTAATAACTTGATTGATGCCAACCTGACCATACAGTGCATACTACAAAAATGAGCCTTCTAACATATTTATAGTTCTTAGGAACAGGTATGATACAAAAATAAGCGAACCAAGAAAGTTAGAATGACATATAGCAAATAACTTTATAACCTACTAATGGCTTCACTTTATTTAGCTTACCTTGTGTGTATCAAAATCAGAACACTCAGCAAACAGCTACACATCTTATGAATCTCTTCAGTTTATTTAGTTTAGTGAAAAGAACACTGAACTTGGAATACAAAAAGCCTAGGATTTTGGCCTTGGATATACCACAATTAGTTGTATGACCTTGGAAAGACATTTAGTTTTTCTCCAAAATGAGTTATTCAACTAGATTAATTTCATGTTTCTAATATCCTTTGAATCTCATAACCAATTTTGGTAGCTTGGAATAAAAAAAAATTCTACTCTAGAAATTATTGTCTGGTAAAGCATAAACTTCTACTTAAATAAAGGGATTAAGAATCCACTTGAAGTTAAAACAAAAACCAACCCTTTGATGTAACCATATGGTACCAATAAATCAATTTATGCTCCTAAAACTTCCTTAAAAGCTAATAAGTTTTTATTGGTTAATTATAAAACTGAATGAGGTGAGAAAAACACAGTACCTTGCTAATTCTATTAATGAACCAAATTTAAAGACAAAAAGAAGTCAGTGGTCTGATTTATGCAAAAACATGCATTTTATTAAAGCAAGTTTTCTAATTTATTTCAACTTAATGCAAAAAAATTAGAAAGTTTAACAAAAAGGCAGCAGGGAATAATTCCTCAAATCCATTCAAATGACTATATTTTCACAAAAAATTATTAAAAGGCTTAAACTTTATTTCAGTGAAAGATTTGTTGTATGGGACTTACCATATTTCACTAATGCTCATTTTTAAAATTATTTTTTTTCACCTTTACTTTTATATGAAGAAAAAGCCAAGCTTTAAGGCTTACTCTAACTCAGATTTGTTATCAATAAAAATTTAATGTGTCCACTATTTACCAGGAATGCTTCTGGGTGGCATAGATACAACTTTAAGTTCAGGTTCTGCATTAAGCATTTAATGATCTTGGTAGGGCGAGACAGCAGACAAAAAGGGCAATATCACAATGTGACCAGTACAGGCACAGAGGTAAGGCGAGTAAGCCATTCGCGTCTATAGGAAATAGGTGCCCTACCTAGTCCTGGACATCACGGTTTCCTGAAGGAAGTGACACCAAAGCAGGGAATTCCATGAATGCTTCACATGAGTTACCAACCAGGACCGATTTGTCCCACATTTTAGTTTGTTGATTATATGATACTTTTCACTGATCCATGGCAAAGGCCACAACACATATTTACTTTCACAAGTACAAGGTTCTTTGGAAACCGGAGGTTGGACATCAGATGGGGATGGGCAAATGCCATCTTTTTCCCCATCTGGATGGAAAGATTCTGGGTGTTGCAAAGTAGGTTACTTGACTAGGTCTGCGTATTCACGGGGAAGGTGTCATACTGAAGGGATGGATAAGCTTCGGGTTGAGAAGTGAGCGGAAAGCTAAGCCAAGGAAACCATCGGTGCCATATCTGTTCACGTGATTTACACTCTAGGGGGCGCGGGGGTGGGGGACTGTACCCACACAACCCCAATGCCCTATGTGAATCCGATAGAATTATTTTCAAGATAACGTAGGGAACAAGCGTGCAGACGGGCAGGCGGGTAGGCTCACCCACAGAGAGCCTTGAACTCCTTGGAGGCAGGAGGAGGGCACAGGGCACCCAGCAGCTCGGTGGCGCGGGCCCAGAGCCCACTCGCCGGCACAAAGTAAGGGCAGGATCGCGCTCGGAGGCTCGGCTCGCGCCTTCCACCTCCTTCAAGGCGCGCCGCAGAAGGCGTTTTGGAGGAGGCGCGGCGCCGGACCCAGATTTTCAAAAGAGCTGGAGAAAGAATCAGGTCAGCCTCTCCTCAGTCCCAAGGGACTTACCCGGACAACCCTTCCACCTGGGTTCTGGAAGAAGCCCTTCGTCATTTACCAGTTTGGATCCAAGCCTGACTACGGCGGCTTCCACCTTTCTGATTTTCTCAAAGGGAAAAACACAAAGTCTTCATTCGTTTCCAAAGTAAACAGCAGCGCAGCGGCCCTAGGAAAGCCCCAGCGAGCACTTTCGATTTCAGCGCCTCGCCCGCCGGCCCGCCTCTTCCGGAAAATGGCTAGTCCCTCCCCAGGGCCCGCGTCGCCCGGGGCGGCTTCTTCCTGCCTCTACCRGGCTCGCGGACGCATGCGTGGACCTGCGGCGTGCGGCGCCCAGCTATCTCCTTTTTCTTTTAGGCAAACCTCCCGCTGCGCCGCTGCCGCCGCTACTGCCTCCGAGTGGCGCGTGCCTACCAGCTTCCTCCGCCCGCCCCCTTGTACTTCCGGCCCTCTCCCCTCGGACTCCAGAGGCGCGAAACGCCCAAAGCGCGCAGGCGCGGGAGGAGTCCTGGGGGGTGGTGGGCGGGCGCAGGCGCGGACCGTCCCGCGGTGGGCGCCGGGGCGGCGGAGCGACTGTCTTCTCCCGCGGCCGGCGCGCGGTTTTCGGCGGCCCAACAGCGGCCAGCCGAGGCCGCGGCGCTCTCACGGTGGCATTCGCGCCCAGTCGCACCGCGACAACCCCGGTGGTTGGGTCCCTTTGAGAGATTTCGACTTGTTGGAGGTAGGGTACGGGCGCGCGCTCGCCGTTCCTGGCTCCGGGACCCGTCCCCCGCCCCTGGCCCCTCGGTGGGCCCCCGGTCCACGGGGGCACCGCGGGGCCGCAGTGTCCCGGGCCTCTCCGTGGGCGCAGACGGCGCCGGCGACCCCTGGCGCGCAGTGGATTGCGGCGCCCTGTCCTCAGGGCGCAGGTCGCTGCCGCGGGAAACTTGGCTGTCTGCGCCGGGCCCGCCCTCCGCGTCCCCGGGCGGCCGGGCGTCGGCGGTCACGGGTGAGGTCCCGCAGGGAACTGGACTCGCGCCTCGAATCCGTGGGACCCCGCAGGCTGCAGCTTGAGTGTGTTTAAAGGACGTGAGCAAGCTTCGCGGCTGCAGGATCTGCCGTTGATGCCCAGTCTCGTGGAAAACGCCGGGTGTATCCCAATGAAATTGTGGTGTTGGAAGGTTTTGTGGTGGCATTTYTTTTTCCTTAATGTCTTGTGGGATTTAAATAGAAAAGAATCCCGGTTGGGAATTGCAGAAAACAAGACCTGAGGGTAAAGGAAGGGCTGTCGGAGTTTTAGGGCTTGAGATGATTCTGTGATGATTTCTAGAAAGAGCAACTGTTTGATGCTTAAAGCCTGAAAACAGAAGTTGTTTGAGTTTTTTTTTTTTTTTTTTATAACTCTGGGTATATTTAAAGAGTAGGAGATTAAGAGCCACTGTTACAGGACAAGCTATTCGGCAAGGTGTAGTCAAAAGAATTAGACGGCCGCTGTGTAGCTTTAATAATGGACAGTAGCATGTGCAGAGTGGTCTGCAGAGAGTTCCAAGGAGGTGGGAGGGAACATATTAGAACTTTTACTTAGATTTACTCTATTTCATTCTCTTACTATGTGAAGTGTACAGACTAACATAATTGTGTTGTTATGAGTTTTGGAATGCATATTCAAAATTTCTTTTGATGAGTGAGTGCAAGTACAAAATTTTGGAGACGACTGGTATATTGCTTAAAAATATGTTTTTGTTTGAGACAAACAGTTGTGTGACTTTGAGCAGATCAGTACCACCTTAAGTTTCAGTTTGTAACTCAGAATTCTTAAATATGGGGAGAGGGGTGGGAGAAAAACAGTGAAAGTTGTATTTACATATGGGGGAGAAACAACGTTATATATGGTTATCTATTATTAGTATAAAAACATTTAGTATTGACTCTGGCAAAAAGTAATTTCAAACGGAATGTTAAAATTGTTACAGTAAAAAGTAAGTTTTATTCCTCAGAAGTTTATTTTACTGAGTGCCTAGTCTGTGGAATTTTATGTAAAACTTGACTAAACCTTGACTGTGGTTTTTAAAAGAAAGTTTTAAAATCAAAGATGCACTTGGCTACCTGGGGATGTAGCTCATGGGTTGTGTTTGCCTAGCATGTCTGAGGTTCTAGGTTTAATCTACAGCACATTGTCTCCCCCCGCCCCCCCCCACACCTGCTCACAAGTACTTGACTGTCAGGAATTAACAAGTAACTCAAAATTTTACCATAAAAGCATATTTAGGATGACATCAAATGCCACAGTTCTGTGTACACAAACCCTGAAGTTCAGCTAGCAGAGGGTCAAGAATAGTTACTTTGTCTATATTAATGTTCACATTTTTGATTGACTACTTGAATGAATTACATCTTTTCTCAGCATACTTTCCTTCCTCACCAAATTCAAGCTACTTTCTGTAGTTTCTTCTCTGCACTCCCAAATCCACCTGCTGAATATATTTTATGACCTGCAGAACTCTCAATATCCTAGGAGCTCTTCGAACTCCGTTTTCAAACAAAACAAATCTATTATTTATGCTCCCTCCTTGACAAACCTTCTATCTACTTATAATGGTTTTTAGCATTAAATGAGAAGATAAAAGACAAACTGAAATCTTATAAAGCAAGCCCAAAGTTTGATTCACTTTAATTAGAACATGATTGGTACATCATAATAAAATTATTTTGGTASTTTTAATGAAGGATAAACAAGTAGATAAAGAACAGATTAATAGTGTTTCATTGCCTATGAATAAGCTGTCAAACTCATTTGTTTATTCTAGTAAGGAACTKGCCATTGAAGAGATTGGACTTCAGCTTTGACAAACCTGGATTTGGATCTCTGCTAAGTTTTAGCTATATGTTAACCTTTTATGAGTTAAGTTGTAGCTACTTAAGTTCAGGTCTTTTGTTTGAATCTTAACTTCCCCTTTTGTTTATTCTAGTAAGGAACTTGGCCATTGAAGAGATTGGACTTCAGGTTTGACAAACCTGGATTTGGACCTCTGCTAAGTTTAGCTATATGTTAACCTTTTATGAGTTGTAACTAAGTTGTAGCTACTTAAGTTCAGGTCTTTTGTTTGAATCTTAACTTCCCCTTTTGTAAAAATGAGAGCAATATTTATAAGAATGTAAAAAGTTAAAAATAGATAAAGTATCTCAAAAACTGAGGCATAGTTATTCAACAAATGTTAATTCTACTCATCTGGAATTATAACCAGTTTTCTAAATCTTTGGTTGCATCTTCTTTCATCCCTGATACTGGCCAAAGTTTTTGTTCAGCCACTTATGATAATATTAGAAAGTAGTCTCTTCTCATTGTTATTCTCACTAAATCTAGTTATTTTTACCATTCCTCTGTCCCATATTGAGACCATAGGGATATTTTCAAAATACAAATCTGAGTATTTACATTTTTATTACCTAAAATGTGGACAGTACTTCCCAGTTTTGCTGATCTTGCATTTTTGGTGAATGGACTGAACAAGGTTTTACAGTTGCATACTTATTTATTATCTAGTAAATCTCATATTCCAATCAATATACTTAATTAATTCTTTACGTTAAAGATGAGATTATGAGGCTGATGATGTGTAGCTCAAGATTAGAGTGTTTGCCTAGCATGAACAAGGTTCTGGGTTCAATCCCCAGCAACACACACACACACACACACACACACAACATGAGGTTGTTTAGTATAGAATGAATGTGTCTTTTGTGGTGGGAAGAGTGGAATTGGGGATAAGGTAAACACAAGCTGGGGCAGATTCAAAAATAGTAGTAACTTGTCTTTAATAAAAATTTGATAATTCTGTCTGGTGCAGTGGTGCATGCCTATAATCCCAGTGACTCAGGAGGATTTCAAGTGTGAGGCCAAACCTCAGCAATTTAGCGAGACCATGTCTCAAAATAAAAAAATAAAAAGATTTGGGTATGTAACTCAGTTGTAAAGCACCCCCAGGTTCAATCCCCAGTACAAAACAAAACTCCCAATAATTCTAAATCTCCTTACAGAACTAGACAGAAGTATGAATTATTAGTTACTAAAATTAGAAAGTTAGATTTTTATAACTCTGTTAAAAAATCAAGTGATAGCTTTCAAATTTCTTATGTATCTACGTGCTATAATAAACCTTTAGTTATTGATTTTTGTTTTGAACTTATTTTTTAATCAATCTTCAGTGTCTCTACTTTGGTGGTACTTGCTTCCTATAAAGGAGAAATGATGTGTCCCTTAATTCAGATTTTTTTTTAATTGTAATTTTAAATAAATACTTAAAATGAGCTTTATCTACATATTGAAAATCCCCGGAGGAGCTTTTTCTTTTTTGAGTGTATATTTTAGAATTTTTTTTTCAGTTATGTTTCTTTATCCCATTGGGAACAATTTTACTATTTTAACCTCTATCTAACTCTCAGAACATCAGGATATTCATATCTGTTTTTGAAAATCCATCATTATTAAATTACGAAGTGATCCCTATTCTAAAAGGAAGGAACCTCAGTGTCTGTTAGATTTCAGGTTACCTTGGCAACCTAACTGCAAACTGCAAATCCCAGTCTATGCCCAGCAAATAAAAACATCCATCATGGGGGTGGGGGGATGCTGAGGTTGTGGCTCTGTAGTAGAGCGCTCGCTTAGCCCTTGTAGGATGCTGGGTTCAATCCTCAGCACCACATAAAAATAAAATGAAGGTATTATGTCCAACTACAACTAAAACAACAACAGCAACTAAAAAAAAAATTGTCACGTAGTGTTTGTATGACATTCCATATGGTATGGATTGTAACATTTATTATAAGAAGTTTCATCATACTTAACCTAGTACATCTCTCTCCTTTGATTTGGCTTGCAAAACCACTGTTCTCTAATGATAAAATACTAAAATCAGTCGACTGATGTCAGATAATATATTAAGTGTTATTAAAAACTGTCTAAATGTTGGGAAAATCAAAAAGTAATGGTATCTTTTTGTTCTGTAATAAATAAATTACTGTTCAGTGTTTGAAAAGGGAGTAGAGAATGGGCTAGAGAGAAGAAAGTGTTGCTAAGAATAATAATCTGGTAGTATTTTGAGAAATGTAAATTAGCAA